AGAGAAGTTTATGAGGAAACTAATTTGACAATTAGGGATTTAGAGAAAGTCGGTGAAGATATTTTTCAAAATGACTGGATGAGGAAGTGCGGTAAAAAATATGCTCAGAAATGCCTAATTCTTGCCATAATTGTTGGAAGAGCAAAACATTTTTATCCACTAATTCCTGGGGAGTTAGTCCTAATAAATTAGCTTTTTTGGCAATTTTTTCGCCATGGTCGTCGCTGCCGGTTTGAAAATATACCTTGTAGCCTTGACTTTTTTTGTAGCGAACAATAATATCAGTAATTACCATCGCATAAGCATGACCTAAATGTAAGCGGTCATTGGGATAAAAAATGGGGGTAGTAATATAGAAATATTTCAGCATATGGGACTATTTCTAACAAAAGGAGACAAAGTAAGAACTAAAATTTCCAAGCGCAATTTAATCTTATTTTAGCAACTTCTTTAATTACTTTTTGAGCGGACAAGAAATCCAAACAAAACTGGTTAAGAAGTAAATAATATCATAACATTTTATAACTTATTTTGACCCTTTCTTTTTGTTGGAAGCGTCCCATATTGCTAAAAAATGTTACTAAATTCTAGAACAAAAATTTTTGCGTTTTTTTATTTGTTCGCCAGGAGAAAAGTTAAAAAAAATACTGGAATATTATCCTCGTCAACCCTCTATTTTATAGGAAAAACTAAATTTGTTCCACCCGTAAAATTAAATTAAATATGATAGAAAATTTGCCTAACTCATTCCAATCAATTAAGAGTTATAATAATTCAGATAGAGTTTATGTAACAAGCTCTCCTTTGCTAATTACTATTGAAGGAATCGACGGCAGTGGCAAAACAACTCTTATCAATAGCCTGAAAAAAAGGGCAGAATTGGATTTAATAACTCACAACTGACGAGACACCGAATTAGGGCAAAAAATCTGACATTTACTTAATGAAGCCAAAGCCGCTGGCAAAAATGGGCTACCAAGCAATTGAAGTTATATATTTTTCATTTTGGCGGCTTTTGACAAACTAATAAAAAAAGTAATAAATCCTAGTTTACAAGCAAACAAAACAGTCATTATTGACCGCTATATTGACAGCACTTTTGTTTATCAAGGATTAACGGGCGGAATAGAAATTAATACTATTCGAGAAGTTGTCCAAAAAACTATTGACTTACCTTTCCCAGATATTACTTTTGTTCTGGATATTGACCCTAAAAAAGCCCAAGAAAGATTAAAAAAAAGAAAATTGGAAACAGACGAATATACTAATTGGGATAATTTAAACTTAGATTTTCACCAAAAAATAAGAAATAATTATTTAGAACTAAAAAAATATTTTCCAGAAAGGATTTGTCTTGTTGACGCTAGCCAAAGTGAAGAAAAAATATTAGCCGAAGTTCAAGAAATAATTCAGCAAACAATTTCACCAAAAAAAGATTTACCAAGCTTTGTTCGGGTAGTTATTAAAAATGACAAAGGTGAGCTCCTGCTGGTAAAAGATAAAAAGTGAGGTTGGAACTTTCCCGGCGGAAAAATTGAACCAGGTGAAACCCCCGAAACAGCAGCTAAAAGAGAAGTTTATGAGGAAACTAATTTGGTACTAGAAAATTGCCAAAAAATTGCCGAGAAGAGTGTTTTTTATGCCAATTTACCCAAAGGAAATCAACCCTGAAAAGGTCATTTTTTTCAAACCAATAAATACTCAGGCGAAATAAAAATTAAAGAGTTAGGGAAAATACTAGATATTAAGTTTGTAGATTATAATTTTCTCTCGGTAAGTGAAGGTCGACAACAACCTTATCAATTTTATTGAGAAAAAATAAAAAAATATGCCGAATAGACCATATAATTTTCCGCCTAATAAGACAAGAATTAATTACTTTTACTTAGTTCGTCAATTTCCTCTCTTAACTTTTTTTCATTATTTGACTGGCTTTCTTAGTGCTTATGGTTCAGTAGAAATACTAAGCAGAATAGACGAACTTGTTAGTAATAAAGACAAAAGCGTTAATATTGGGTATATCCGAAGTAATTTTTGAAAAATAATTGGTCTTTTTCTAATTGCTTATGGGATTATTGTTTTTCTACATATTGCTATGGAGATTTATTTAGTGGAAGTTTATAGTTCACATTTGCGGCAAAAATTAGCCGCCAAATATTTAAGTGCTAGTTTTCCCCAAACCCAAAAGGCTCGCTTCATTCTTACTAACTACGAAAACGAAGCTATTAATGTGGGAACCAAAGCCGCCCAGATTTTTAACCGTTGCTTTTATGCCCTAGTAAGTATTGGTCTTATTTTTTGAAAACTTGGTCAAGGGGGAGAAAGCTGACTTATACCTTGATTGTTATTAGCCTTATTCATTTTAACCGTGGCGGGCTTACTACTTTATCAGTTAGCTTATCGTCCCCGCTGGCGGAGAACTAGGAATATTCAACGAGAAAATAAACACTTTGAGGAACTAAAAGAAAATACTGAATATATTAAAATCACGGGCACGGAAAAACAGGAAATCAAGAAAAATAAAAGTTTGCTCCACAAAAACCTGAAAAAGATTTTGCCGTTGGCGGTCAATAAGTCTCTTTTTGCCACGGTTCCGAACTACTTAATGGTGAAAGCCCTCCCGCTCCCTTTTCTTTTGGCTGCCAATTCCCGAGGCATGGAAGAAATTTATTTATTTTTATTATATACTAAATTAAATGCTCTTTTTGGTGATTGGAAAAAGTTTTTTGAAGAATTATGAGCCAAAGGCGGTTATGATAGTTATTGCGCAAGCTTAAAGCAACTAAATAAGGCTTTTGTTATTTTAGAAAAAGATAATTCTACGGCAGTTTTTGTTATTAAACCTCTGCCCGCCAAAAAAGCAAGTATCACTTTCCAAAAAGTTAATTTTGCCTACCCCGCTAGCCAGAAAAAAATACTGGATAATTTTTCTTTTTCTTTCCAAAAAGGACAAAAATACGCAATTATTGGTGCTAATGGTATTGGTAAAAGCACTTTATTTAAATTAATGATTAAACTTTATCAGCCCCAGTCCGGAGAAATTAAGTTAAATAGTAATAAACAAGAAAATATTGCTAATTCCGCTTGGCAGAAAAAAATAGTTTATTTACCTAACCATCCTTATTTTTTCAATACCAGTTTAGGAAATAATATAGTCTACCCTGACACTTATCAAGCCAATACTCACCAAGAAAAATTGGAAAATACAGCCCAAAAATTAGGAATTACCGAGTTTATTGATAAATTACCCCACCGCTGAGAAACTATTATTACCGAAAAAGGGCAAAATCTTTCCGAAGGGCAAAAACAACTGGTTAGCCTAATGCGGGCTTTGGTTAAAGATTACGAGATTTATCTTTTTGATGAGTTTTTAACTAATATTAACAGCGATTTAAAAAAGGAAATTTTAAAAACTGTTTTTCACGAATTACGAAACAAAACAGTTATAATTATCAGCCATGATGAGGAAGTTTTCCCCTACGTAGATGAGATATATAAATTTACTCCCCATCAACTAAAAGCATATGAAAGAAAATAAGAAAAGTAATAAACAAGAAAAAAATAAGAAAGAAATCAAAAACCAAAATAAGCTCAAAAGATTTAACTGATTTACTATTACTAAGATATTTTGAAAAGAGCAAATATTTTTTTATATTTTAACCACTTTAAGTTGTCTAGGTTCTTTTTTGATTTCGAGTAACGCTGTCAAAAAACTTTTTGAAACAATTAAAGACAAAAAGCAATTAAAATATTCTGTTGATTTTAAATTCTTTGGCAAATCATTCGGAGTCTGAGAACTTGGTTCCCAAGGAAAATTTATTGCGGTCATGCTAGTTATTATTTTCTTGACTTGTTTGATAGTTATCGCTCATGTTTATTATTCCTATTATTTAGCCAATAAAATTACAGCTCTGGTAAAAAAAAGGCTGGTACGCAAACTTTTTTCTTTACAAAACACTCAAAATAGAAAAAGTTCCTTAGCGGTTTTAGCTCATAATCCTCGCACTTTTTCTTATTTAGCGATTTTTGTTCCTAATCAAATCTATTACTGAATTCTGGATAGCACTTTGACCTTTACCTTGGTAAAAGAAGCCGCGCAACAAACCGGAGAATATTCCTTAATTTGGTGAGGAATTGCTTATTGCTTTTTAATTTTAACTGTTATTTTTTTCTTTCAATATTTAGTCTATAAAAAGGACCGTCTGTTCCAAAAATCTTTAAAAAAAGAAACTGAGCAGGAAGACTTTTTAGTGAATAATCGGGATTTAATAATTAAAAAAAATTTAACTGCTTCCTCGCTGAATTCTTACAAACACTACCTTGGTAATTCCCAAGCAGCCACTAACAAGCGCGACTGAGCTTACACTCTCTCTTATGTTGTTCCCTCTTATTCTTTGATACGAATGACGGGCATTGTTTTCCTGCCTTTCACTAAAACTCCCGCTGCTGCGATGGCCGTGCTTAGACTAGCAGAGCTCTCCGATTCCACCAAAAAAATGGCGGAAAGATTAAAAGATTATCCTTATGGTTTGTCAGCCCAGAAACAAATTAACAATTTCTTAACCCAGCCCGAAAGAAATGACCGCCAAAAAAATATTCTCATTTCTGAGCCAATTACCAATATCGCTTTAAAAAAAGTTTCTTTTGCTTATGAGGGGAAAAAGCTCGTGTTGAAAAAATTAAATTACGAGTTTAAAAAAGGTAAAATTAATTATTTAACTGGTGCCAACGGGTCTGGGAAAAGCACTATAATTAGTTTAATTATGGGATTATATCAGCCGCAGCACGGGGAAATATTTATTAACAATAAATATAAGTTACAGGAGATCAATTTAATAGTTTGGCGGGAAAAAATTGCTTATGCAGAGCATAATAATTTGGTGGAAAATGGACTCTCAACGGGTCAAAAACAGTTAACTGATTTAAACGAACTTTTTGCTACTAGTGGGAAAAAAGAAATATTTATTTTTGATGAAGCGGATAACGCTTTGGATGAAAATAATAAAAAAGAGTTTCGCCACCAGATAGAAAAAATTAGCAAAAAGAAATTAGTTATTTTGATAAGTCATTAAAATACGGTAAAATGTATTTAAAATAATAATGGTAGAAACAATAAATAGTGGGAAAAAGAAAACCAAAGCAGAAAAGATTTTGGAAGATATTGAAGCCCAATTAAAAAAACTTGTTACTGAAAAAAAAGAACTTAAAAAGAGTTTTGTGGTGAAACTGAAAGAATTGGGGA